CAGAGATGGGGACATGGAGAGAGGGAGCAGCTGAGGACTCTAGATTCATGGAAAGAAAGGGACTGAGTGCTGACAGCCAGAAGGCAGGCTTGCAGAATGCGCCCTTTGGTTGTTTAAATTATTATATATGCCTAAGTGTTTGAAAAAAAAAGAGCTAAAATGAATAAAGAGAAATACTGTTTGTTAACTGAACTGATGGTACATGGAGGGGATTATAACCATTGTAATGCAACAAAGTGTATGATTTGTTGAATGTAAAATTGATGATCTGCCCTGTAAACTTTCTCTCAATTCATAACAAAAATTAAAAAAAAAAAAATTTATGAGCAATGGAATTTAAAAGAAAGACAAAAAAAAATGATCAGTGACCAAGAGCTCATGTTTCTAATACACAAAGAGTACTTATAAATCTATTTAAAGATTAAAAGGCCATCAGAAAAAGAAAATCGTAGATGTCCAGTGTGCTTGTTTCCACTGATGCTCTTCCTCAGAAAAACTCCCACACTATGGGAGTGGGTTCCCAGCACCAAAATCTGTATGACGTAATCTTGCAATACTAGCTAGCAAAAGCTAATTGAGTCTAGTATAAATCCTTATCATTAAAATTTTGAACTCAGGAAAGAATTTGAGGATTCACAAATCCCTGACGCTGAGGTCTAAGAGCTACCGTGGCTCCCCCTCTTCCTAAAGCTAATTTTTGACCTCCTGTTTATATTCTACTCTGTTAAGTGTAGACTAATTACGATTGTCTACAATTGGGTACGAATTGGGCTGTGAACTTTAATGTCAGCAGTTCAAAACTACCAGCTGTTCCACAGGAGAAAGATGAGGCTTTCTGTGCCCATAAAGATTAACAGCCTTGGAAACCCTGTACAGGGTCAGGATGAGTCGGAACCGACTCCACAGCATAGAACCACTACCACTACTTTGTATTCTAAAAAAATGAACATTTTTTTAAAATAATAAATTCACTTTTTGTGTTTAAACTAGTTAATTATAAAGAATTTTTTTTAATTGTGAACTGAGGTTTACATGGGAAAACATCAGTTTCACACTATTTCATTGTAATGATAACAATCCCTTCTGTGCATCGTCATTGAACAGTATGTGGTTCTATTCCCTTGGGTTTTTGGGATTTGTTTTGGGGGGGGGGGGGTTGTACACAAAAACTCTCAGGAATATATAATAATTTAAACAACCAAAGGGCACAATCTGCAAGCCTGCCTCCTGGCTGCCAGCACTCAGTCTTTCCCTTTCCATGAGTCTAGAGTCCTCAGCTGCTCCCTCTCTCCATGTCCCATCTCTGACTCCATCTCTAGTGTCTGGATACGGTCCCACATTCTCGTCATGCTCTTCTCCCTTGATGGTAGTAGGGTCCTCTGTTCCTGGACTGTAAGATTAACTATTCCCCATTTTGGTTACAAAAACGTCTATATTTACAGTTGTGACTATCGTAATTAGTCATAATAACAATTACTGTTGAATTATAAGAATCTTATACCTATCTCCTTTCACCAGACCCATGTAGACAAGATGAGAACTATTCAGTGGGGCGCTACCTTCCCCCACACACTCTTAAGCTAAACTACCTCTTGAAAACTTGTAAGCCAGTCACTTCATGCTTTTATAGTGCCCACCCATTTTAGAGTATCCAATGTCTAAGTTGCCTAGCCCTATCAACTCTGTATACAGATGTGATAGTATTGACATTTGATGTGAAGACTCCTTCCCTCTCAGTTGGTATTTTGAGCTACTACATCCATAAGTATAATATAAAGAAATTTAACATACTAATGGAAAGTTCACTCACAGCATATATATAAAGGCTCAGTAAAAGTAAACTGTGATATGCAAACTCACCAATATTTTTAATGTAATAAAATAGTGCATACCAACAGATAATGAAATTAAATAGTATGTATAGAGATAAATAATAAAGCCATCATTTTCATCTGTTGATTAACAATGATTAAAAGACTAATAACCATTGTGGGAAGAGACATTTCATTCTCCCATACTATTTCAGAATAAAAAATAATACAACCCTTTTGGAAGAAACCTAGTATTACCTCTGGAAATTTAAAATATTCATACAATGTAATCAAACAGATAAAAGTTTCAGAAATATGCTATTAAAAAGTTACTGAAGTGTTCAATAGCATTCATTATAGCATTATTCATATTATAAAGCTGAAAAAGACTACATACGTGCTAGCAATAGCTTATTATCATACTTAAAATAACAACTGTTTTTCCAGTTGACCTAAATGTCCAAGTCTATGATCCTTAGCTTTTGAGTCCAGTAGTTCAATCCAGATGTCTAAGCAGTTTCTCTAACTGTGCCCCGTGTGAGAACATTTGTATGTAGAAATATCCATAACTACACCTCATAACTACCAGCCGCTCCGCGGGAGAAAGATGAGGCTTTCTACTCCCGTAAGGATTTACACCCTCGGAAACCCTGTACAGGGTCGCTATGGGTCGGAACCGACTCGACGGCACTCAACAACAACAACAACAACACCTCATACGTATGAGGTGTCCTCCCATATGATTCCCCTCACCTATGTGGCTTACTTTTTTACCTATATATCTAGTCACAAGTTATTGTTTGTTATTACCATCATTGCAAGACTGTATACATGTTACAGCATTTACCATGTTGTTGCTAGTGCCGTGAGTAGGTTCTGACTCACAGCAGCCCTGTATAGGGTTTCCGAGACTGTAAATTGTTTGTTGTTGTTAAGTGCTGTCGAGTCCTTTCCGATTCATAGATACCCTGTAAAGGACTTCCAAGGAATGGCAGAAAGTCCCATCTTTCTCCCACAGTGGGTTCCAACTGCTGACACCCTGGTTAGCAGTCCAGTGTTTTTCCTACAATGCCACCAGTATTCTTACCATTTACCATTGTTGTTGTTATTAAGTGCCATTGAGTTGGTTACGACTCATAGCGACCCTGTATAGTGTTTCCAAGGAGCAGGTGGAGAGTTGGAGCCACCAACCCTGTGGTTCAAACCAAGCTTGTGGTCGGTCCAGTGCTTTATCCCACATCACCACACCACAACTCCAGCACTTACCATAGCTGTTTTTTATTTCTGTGCACTTCTCAGCATCTTCCTTTACTTTGGTTATGTTGTGCTGACTTCCCTCATTGTGTAATACTTTTCCCTTCACCATAATTAACACTTGAGTACTATGAGCAAGGTATGCTCTTCCATTTATGTATCTTTTTGCTTCCTGTAGTAAGTGTTTCACAGTTTTCTTTGTGTAAGTCTTTTACATATTGCACCTTTCTGTGCATAAAAAACATTAAAGAAACACTTCCAGATACACTAAAAGATCAACATAATACAGTAATAATAATGATGATGTTTAGATGCATGATGCAAAATAACACTCGTTTTTTTTTTACATGCCTCAAAATTTTAATATAATAAGCTTTACAGTGGTTGGTTCCCAACTATGGGTTGCAGCTAGTCAGAAACTTGTAACCTAGGAATTGCCTGTATACATACTTTTTATTTATTTTTTTTTATTTATTTATTTTTTTTAAAGGTATGTTAGTATATATATCTATATATACAAAGAAAAAAAAATCTGGATGAACATAATCCTGAAAACAGAAATGTTTTCAGTTTTATAAAAATTTTATGTAAATGGTAGTGTATTTTTAAAGTAAACCATTAATACTTTTGCAATGTAAACAATTACCCCAAAATACCTACCATTTAAAGCGTTTCAAAAAAAGTAATTCCTTTTCACTGCAAGCAAAAAGAACCTCCCGACTCGGCCTCTTACTTACGATGTTCAGCCCCATGGATCAGTACTGCCCACCCAAACTTTCCCAGACAACATCATGCTCTTGTTACGTATTTGTGTTTTAGCTCATGCTTTCCTGCACCTGGAAAGCCCTTATCCTATTATTCCTCACCCTGGAGTTTAACTTCCGTGCTGCTCAGGCTTCCTTGTCTCTGACACAGCTTATCAGGGTTTCTTAGTTTCATGCAAAAAACACCATGACAACAACTAATGGCAGAATCTCCTGAAAGTTTATGTACAACTAGTGCTGTGTGTATAAGTACTTTTCTAGGGACAATTTACATAAATTAAATTAGATCCTCAAAAGAAGCATGATTCATAAAGGGGGTGAGAACCAAGATCTAGACAACACTCATCCATCCATTCTCTGGAGTACCGCTATACTTGGAGTACCTCCATACCTGGAGTAGCTCTATACTCTGTACATATTTCTATTCATAGAGTAAATGTGAGTAGGCTTCAAAAACTTAGTGGAAAAAGAAAGTTGAAAGATACCTTTTCCACAAACGTTTTGAAGCCCCTTGTAATCTATTTTGTAAATTATTTACACATTGGTCTCTCTGCCTGGGCAGTGTGTTTCTTTTCTCATATCCTCCCCCTCTCTGTAAACAGTGAAAAATAGTTGTGTTCATTAACACTTCTAGATCTGTTTGATGTCAGAAGTAGTGTGAATCAAAAATCAACAAAAGAATACTTACCTCTGTTGGATGCAAGAATAACTCTCATCCAGTAGAAAGGATCTGCAGAATCTGACGACATGATTCCAAAGAGTGGTATCTATAATATTAAATCAAATTCTTTATAAAAATACAAATGAAGTTTACATTTAATTTGTATTACATTCATTCAATGTTTGGAATACTACAGAGGGGGAAAAAAACATATTCTGTAACAAAAACAAGGACACAAGAGTGAAGTTCTTTAATAACAATAAAAACAACAAAAAATTATTTATTTCACTAGTAAATACTTCCATCAATGGATTTTAAGATGTGATATGAATCTATGATTGGATGTGGAAGCTACTGAATCATAGAGTAATTTTTAAAAGCTATGAGTCCTGGTGTGGCACTGCTGGTGTGGCACTGCGGGATAATGCACTGGACTGCAAGGTCTGTTTGAAATGCAAAGTTAGCAGTTCAAATTCACCAGCCACTCCTTGAAAACCCTATAGAGGATTGCTATGAGTCAGAACTGACTCGAAGTCACTTAACAACAACAGAACAACAAATAGGTTCTAAAGGCAGCAAAGATCACACTCCTAAATGCAACACTGAAGGCAATACATACAATGGGAGATGATCATGGAGTCACTAAAAATTACACTTTTGAAGCTTGTAATATTATGAACAAATGCTTACATTATAAAGTTAAATATAAACCAGTGGTTCTCAATAGTGTTGATTTTGCCTCCTGGGGACATTTGGCAATGTACAGAGACATTTGTGGTTGTCACAAGAAGGAGGGGAACTGCTTATGACATCCAGCAGGTAAAAACTAGGGATAGTGTTAAAAATCCTATGAGGCCCAGTGCAGCCCAAAAACAAAGCTAAGTCAACAGTGCCACTGTTAAGACTTGTAATATAAAAAGAAAGGTGTAAAATTATATAAATTATGTAAAACATCAATACTGTAAAACTACACATATAAAATCAAACTAAGAGTCTTGGTGTGGCACTGTAGGATCAGCACTAGACCACAACCCACGAAGTTGGCAGTTAAATCCACCACCTGCTTTTCTGAAACCCTATACAGGGGTCATTAGAGTCAGAACCAACTCAATGGCACTTAACAATGAATATTTTTTAAACCTGGAACAGAGTGATAGTGGGATTATGATTGACTTGTTTTTCTATTCAGCATTTATCAAATTCTATAATGAGAACATATTTTTTTAATTGGGGGAAAAAAACCCGCTTAACTTTAGATTGCTTCCTATTACATGATTCATGTTTAAAATACAACACTTGCTGGGTAGCAGAACTAGTGAAGCAAGAACGATGGATATTATATGTAAACTTGGTAGCTGTAGATATTCTTTGCTAAAGTGATGGATAAAAAGTAAGAAAATCTCTGTAAAAGTCTATTCGCACTACAGCATAGTCCATAGTAAACTATTCTCAACTTGGGAAAGAGGTTAATCACTATGTCTAACAGAGACAGGCACTGCATCCAGGGTGAACTGCTCTGTGGGACAATGAAACCTACTGAAGCTCTGGTAGCATAGTGCTTACGAGTTCAACACTACCAGCCGATCCAGAGGAGAAAGATGAGCCTTTCTGTTTTTGAATAGATTTACAGCCTCGGAAACCCTAAGCAGGGTCACTATGAGTCGGAACCGACTCCATGGCATACCACCACCACCCCTGAATAGTGGTATGCTCTCATTTCCTACAGTCAACAGGAATATGAAAATCCACTCTACAAGCTTTATTTCTGCTAAGAAATTCAACAACTATAAGATCAGGAGCTATTTTCTATGAATCTAACAGATGAAGAGTTCCAAACCTTGTACTGTATTACATATAACAATTTGTTTCAACGTGACAAAATACTGTACAGTACCTTGGAGATACAAGGCATGACATACTTAACTGGAAATACTGAACTGGTCGGATAGACAAATAGAAAATTAGCACTAAAGATTTCTAAACAGCAGTAGGAAATGAAAATCAAACAAGATATGGTCAGGTTTAGATGGCAAGTTTCCATTACATTACCCTCCCCTGGGATATAATGAAGCAAATAATTTTTAAGGAAATGTAAAATAACTAACAATAATGATAAAAATTAACAACATTTCAGGGGGTAGGGGACCAAGGCGGAGGATCACGAAGTACCCAAACAACAGTTCAAACAGTGGTCGTCACGGGGATAGAAACAAGACAACCATGGAATAAAGACTCATTCCACAGCTGCTTGTCATGGTCATACTGGGAAGCCAATAGAACCCCCAATAACATTCCATTTCTGAAGCGAAAATAAAGCGTATAAACACCCATCTCTTTCCTTCTGGCTATGAGGGAGCACAACTAGCACCTGGGAAGAAATGGATGCCAGTAAACAAGGATCTGACTTTCTGTAATGGAACTGATGATCACACAGCTACACAGAATTAGAATGGGAAAGGATCTGAAATCTGGAATAAAACATACCAAAAAACCCACTGATACAGAGTCGATTCAAACTCGTAGCAGCGGAAGAGACAGCCTCATCCTTCTCGCAAAGATCCCCTGGCGGGTTTGATCTGACGATCTTGCAACCCAATGCTTAACTCACTGTGCCTCCAAGACTTCAAAATTAAATAAATCATTCTTGTTAGGTGTCATAACATTGGTGCTGACTCATAGCAACGCTATGCACAACAGAACAAAACACTGACCAGTAACGAGCCATCCTCAACCACAATTGTTAAGTTGGAGCACACATGCTTGCTGCCACTGTAATCAACCCACTTGTTGGGTGTCTTCCTCTTTATCAGTGACACTCCACATGACCAAACATCACATCCTTCTTCAGGGACGGATCCCTTCTGACAACATCCTCAAAGTATGAGAGACAAAGTCTCTCCATCCTGGCTTTTAAGAAGCATTCTGGCTGTACTTCTTCCAAGACAGACTGTTTTGCTCTTCTGGCAGTTCTTGGCCCTGTCAATATTCTTTGCCAATACCGTAATTCAAATGCATTGATTCTTCTCTGGTCTTCCTTATTCAGTGTCCAGTTTTCACATGCATATGTTGCTGTTATCTACTGACTCATAGCGACCTTATGCACAGCAGAACGAAACACTGCCCGATCCTGGGCCAACCTCACAACTGTTGCCACGCTTGAGTCCATCGATGCTGCCACTTGGCCAATCCATCTTGTTGGGGGTCTTCCTCTTTTTCTCGGACCGTCCATATGAGATGATTGAAAATACCATGGCTTGGGTCTGGCAAACTTTAGTCCTCAAACTGACATTTATGCTCTGGAACATTTTAAAGAGGTCTTGTGCAGCAGACTTTACCTAATGCAATACTTACCTCTTGAGTGCTGATTGTGGATCCAAGCAAAATGAAGTCTTTGATAATTTGAATCTTTTATCCATTTATCATGATGTTGCTTATTGGTCCAGTTGTGAGAATTTTTGTTTTCTGTACATTGAGGTGCAACCCATACTGAAGGTTATTTCATTTGCTTATAGAAACTTATTAATGTAGTTTCCTCCCACCCTGATGTCACATTCCTTTTCATATAACCCATTTTCTAGGATTATTTGCTCATCATACAGATTAAGTATGATGAAAGATATAATCATGTCACATACTTTTCCTGATTTTAAACCATTTGGTAACCTCTTGTTCTGCTTGAACGACTGCCTCTTGATCTATGATACGTTCCTCATGGGCTCAATTAAGTGTTCTGGAATACATTTTCTTTGCAACATTGTCTATAGTTTGTTACGACCACACATTTGAATACCTGTGCATAGTCAATGAAGCACGGGTAAACATCATTCTGGTATTCTCTGCTTTCAGTCAAAATCCATCCAAAATCAGCAATGATATCCCTAGTTCCAGCTTATATTTCTGGTAGCTCCCTGTCAATGTATTACTTCAAGTGTTTTTTAATTATCTTCAGCAAACTATTACTTGCATGTGATGTTAATGATATTCAATGATTCCTGCATTCCACTGGGTCACCTGTGGAATGGGCACAAATATGGGTCTCTTCCAAGTATAGATGAGTGAGCACCTCCAATGCTACATCAGTTTTCTGCAAGATTTCAATTTGTATTACATTAATTCCTTGGAGCCTTGATTTCTGCCAATGTCTTCGGTGCAGCTTGGATTTCTTCCTTCAATATCCTCAGTTCTTGATCATATGCTACCTCTTGAAATAGGTGAACACTGACCAATTATTTTTAGTATAGTGACTATGAGCATTTCTTCCATCTTCTTTTTATGCTTGCTGCATCATTCAATATTTTGACCACAGAATCCTTCTATATTACAATCTAAGGCTTGAACTTTTCATTCAATTCTTTCAGCTTAAAAAACGTTGAGCATGTTCTTCTTTGATTACTTTATTATAATTTGCATACTTTACTATAACTTACTTTTGTCTTCTTGATCTGCCCTTTGAAATTTTCTCTTCAGATCTTTTACTGCCTCATTTCTTCCACTTGCTTCCAGCTTCAGTCTCTTCTGACATCCTCTGGCCTTTTCTTTCTTTCCTGTCTTTTTAGTGACCTTTTGCTTTCTCCATATACGATGTTCTGAATGTCATCTGGTCTTCAGTTCTTAGGGTCCAATGCATCAAATCTGTTCCTGAGATGGTCTCTAAATTCAAGTGGAATATATTTTGACTCCCATGGACTTGTTTGCATTTTCTTCAACTTCAGCTTGAACTTGTATATGAACAATTTTTCTTCTATTCAACAGTGGGCCCCTGGCCTTGTTTTGGCTGATGATATTGAACTTCTGTATCGTCTCATCCCTCAGATGTAGTAGATTTGATTATTGCATAGTCCATCTGGTAAGGTACACATGTATAGTCACTGCTTATGTTGTTGAAAAATTAAATTTTCAATGAAGTTGTTGGTCTTGCAAAATTCTATCATGCAACTCCAGCATCACTTCTATCACCAACACCCTATTTTCCAACTACTGATACTTACTGTTTCCAACTCTTGCAATCTAATCAACAATAACTATCAATGTATCTCAAATGCATGTTTGATCAATCTCAGACTGAAGAAGTTGATGTTGTTAAGTGCCGTCAAGTCAGTTCCGACT